GGGAGGATGTCAGGGGATATGCAGTACACATAAACGCAGTGGAACAGGCCACTGAACATCACAAAACAAATCTCCGACCTGCCACAACAGAGAGGAGCACTTCCCTCGACTCATAACTAGTGATGTCGTGAACAGTTCGCGAACTAGAAGATAAATGGAGGTGGAAGCACTTGGAAATCTGCTTAACTGGAAGCTTTAGCACAACAGATGCCCCACTTCCTGCGCAGGTTGTTTGTTGCTCTTACCTCCTAAGCAAGTAAAAACTATCCGACTGGATGGCGTGTTCAGAGTGCCAAAACCCCAATCAGCCATGGCATCACTCTCCAGTGACTTGCTGGTAAAATTTCAAAACTGTCAGTATAAGGCTGCTACCCTGAATGCCACTAGAAGAAAGACCCCACTCAAACTTGAAGATCTGGAACTTCTGATCTCCTGAGTGAAGTCCACTAGTGTATTGCCTGAGCTTCAGCTGATCACAGCCAATGAGCCGAGCTCTGCACTGCCAGCTTCTGGCTGTTAATAAGCAGTAGTGGAGGCATGAATCTGCTCTTGGCAGACCCTAGATAAATTCTCTTCTAAAACTGTCAGACTCCTGGTATCACTATAGTGTGTGTGTGTGTGTGTGTGTGTGTGTGTGTTCGATCTGCTCCTTTTAACACAAGTTATGGGTGATTTTTCAGCGTTTTATTCATGAGTCTAGAGAAACGGCAGTTGCCCCATAAGTTGACTCTGCATTTCTCTTGAGAGCTATCAATTTATTTTTTATTTTTAAGATTAAGCTTTCTTTGTACTGGATTCTGTACCAAACATAGTGAAACCTGACATGGACTGCCTTTACACCGCATTCAATATCTGATGGACTTGCTGCATCCACAAATACGGATATGTCTGAATCTGCGTTTAGTCCGTGTGAAGTTGAAAAATATTATAATTTTTGCCTTTGACAGTACAATCTTAGAGGCCAGCAAATGGTTAAAGTTTCAGTGTTTATATGGTGGTGTGAGTGTTTAGAGTAGGATGTTGGCCTGTCTTGAATGAAATCTGATATCAAGGGGAGGAAAAGCTAGGAAGATGTAATATAAACAATTGGAATAATGAACTTGGCAGAAATTTCACTCACGTTCTGGATTTATGCTCTGTAGACAAAGAGACTATTCAGTGTGGGGTCATGGTATGATCTGATTTTTATTCTTTATTTTTAATTCACCCAAGGCAGTGGTTTGTCCAATGTAGACAGTTTGCAGAGTACACATTTTCTTGATTCTCACCATCTGTAATACAGAATTGAAGCTTAAAGTTGGCTTCTGCAGCAGTTTCTAGGATTCAATTTTTATTTTCCTACTGGAAACTCAATTTCTTCTAATACATGTGGTTTTCAGGTCCCAGAAAATAATCTAGTAATCTGCCTATTGTGGTATCGGTGAGTCTGGTGAAACGCTATTCAAGGTCGGGATTGGAAGCACGCCCATTTGGCCAGAGGTTCTACTGTGAGAGTTGGCCGGACGGTCTAACGGCTAATAAGGACTCAACTGCCTAGAATTAAAATTTTATTTTAGTACCATAATTGCTAACCCTGGTTTATCTAGAAGAGAAAAAACGGTGGACAGACCATTGGGGCCTCTGTCATTGAGCTAGGGCTGGACGCCAGCAGGAGTTTAAATGCACACTTTGATTAACTGCAATGTCAATCCAACCTCACCTACACTTGAATAACTTCCATAACAATTCCATGCAATGCCCACAATATTCTCCTACCAGTCTGTTCTGCAGCATTGAGGTTATCTGGCTGCAACAGGTGATACCTCTCAACACAATTGCATCCTGTGTTTATTTTGGATACCAGGTGTAAAATCCTACTCTAGCACGAATTTGCTTGTTCCCTTTAATTCATTAATTGCTTGGTTATGTAATTCATGTAGGTGGAATGTATTGTAGTAGTTTTAAAGATATGGTGAGATGTGCTCTGTATTTGCCTAATCTAGTCACTGCTATCAAACTTTTTTTTATTTTATTTTTTGGGGGGTGGAGAGTATAGTTTCCCTTTAACAAAGGAAAGAATGCAGTGTCCCCTCTCCCTCCCCAGTGGTGCAGAAAGCCCCTTCTGTCAATTATCTGATTCCAGCGCTGGTTCAGGGTCAGCCTTTGTCCCTTCCCAACTGTCAGTCGGGGGAGATCTAATGCGCATGCACAGTGATGGCCGTGCTTGTGTTAGTATCTTCCCTATAGGAAACCATGTGTAAGGATTTCCTATGGGGTTTTGAAATACTGGATGTCCTCATGCATAGTGGGAGGACGTCCAGTGTCAGGTGACCAAAAGTTGCCGAACAACCCTTGAGTCCCTCTAGTGGCTTTCTGGTAGACTGCCACTAGAGCTGGAGTTTATTCTCCAAGGTAATTATTGCAGATTATTAAAACCGGCAATAATTACCTTTTGCAGGGTTGAAGGACCTGAGACACTGCACCCAGACCATTTCAATGAGCTGAAGTGGTCTGGGTGCATACAATGTCCCTTTAAAACTAGGGCCTATCTTGTGCGATTTGTGTAGTCTTCTTTTCATTCTACTGAAATGTAACGTGTTTGACCAGAAACTGGATGTTTGTCTGGTGACTTCCCTTTCGAGAGTCAGTTTCAGTAAATTGTGTCTAGGTTAGATCCATCCTGAGATCTGCCTCATTGCAGAATTGACAATTAGATGGTTCATGTTTGTTAATAACCTTCATACGTGTTTGCTGTACACATGGTCTGAGAATGAAGGACAGATTTAGATTTGCATTAGTTTTCTGCTCTGTCCTTATTTTACCCAGTGGTACTGGCTGAATGATGCACACCCCTGTCAGCAGTCACTGGGGGTAGCTCTGAAAGGAAGGCATGCTCTCAGTGATCATGGCTAAAGCTAGCTTCACCTGTTATCGCTGGGCTCCAGAGTTTGTGCATAAAATTTGTATTTCAGAAAATATTGAGGAGAGCTGAATAGCGTGTAGTGTCATTTAACCCCTTAAGGACCAAACTTCTGGAATAAAAGGGAATCATCACATGTCCTTAAGGGGTTAAATCCATAACCTTTGTCACAACAAATACATACGTTGACCCCAAAATACAGCGTGGGTCTGCTTAGTTGGTGCTGCAGTGGGGCTTCAACTTTCCAGGGATCGGTAGAACCTCTCAAAGTGTAACCCCCCCCCATTAACCTAAATGCTGGTGAGGGTATGTAGTGCCTTAGACTGGTTAAACTGATGGCATACAGATTCTCTATAAACCCGATTCTGAAACGTTAGAGGTGCTGACTGACAGAGGAGCTAGGTTACTGTGGATGGAGTGTGGATGGTCCTACGACCCACATTGACTTTTAACTGACATTTATCCCATGTGACTAAGCTTCCATATTGGAGTAGGCGGCATCTGACTGTGTATCAGACCTAGAACTGATACTTTTTATCCAGGGCGGTAAATGGTGAAATAATCCATATAATCTTCACAGCACAGATTTCATGTCTGAACTCATTAGCCAGGTCATTAAATATAAGACAAAGTAGTGCTGCTTTGACTTGCCTTCCTGTTTAGGGATAAGATTCTTTAGGTTCCTTTGTTTAATAACTGAATATCCCATAATTTAAGGGATAATAGTAAACAAATGTTTATGGTGTGACATCCCCCATTAGCTTTCCAGATGGAACAGAGCCTCGCTTGCAGGTTTAGTTATAAAAATAGTAAATTCTGTGGACCTTGCACATATGGAAGTGTTTTTTTTTTTTTGTTTTTTTTTGGTTTGTTTGTTTTCTCATCTCCCCTTCCTTAATTGAGCCTTACTAAGTCTTCATAAAGGATATGGATTTTTCGAGAACCAGATACTCGATGCCGCAGAGTTTCCCAATTGGTGTTCCACGAGAACACAATTGAGGTTCCGCCAAAATGTATAAAAACAAAATGGTGGCCAGGGAGCAGTGGGCAGTGACCTCCCTCGCGCACACAGCAGTGATGCCAGAGCCTGAATATGACATTGCTCCAGCATCACTAAGAGGCACATGAGGGAGCTAAGCAGGGAGATTACTGCTGTAACGCCGACAGCCCAGCAGCCCCACTGGACCCCAGGGACCGCAACGCTGGGCCCAGCAGCCCCACTGGACCCCAGGGACCGCAACGCTGGGCCCAGCATCCCCACTGGACCCACAGGTAGGGGGGCTGGCTGGAGTAAAAAAAAATTATATAAATGTTTGTCAGTGAGACTGTGTGCTCTTCAGTGAGTATGTGTTTGTATGTGTCTATAAAAGTGTCAGTGAGTGTTTGTATTTGTCACTGTGTATCTGAGTGTGTGTGTGTTTGTGTATTTGTGAGTCAAAGTGTGTTCCACTGTGTATCTGTGTGTCACTGGCACATACAAAAAAAGTGCAATTTTAATTTTTTATTTTTTTTAATTTTTTTTCTGTGGGGTGGGGGGTAGGGAGATTCCCCGATATTGATAAACTGTCAAAGGGTTCCACTGGAAAAATTAATTGGGAACTCCTACTCTATTGATCTACTACTGGATGCCTGATGGAGAGGAAAGGGGTTAAACTTACCTTTTTTCCAGCGCCGGGCAGGGAGCTCTCCTCCTCTCCGCCTCCGATCCTCCCAATTTGGCTGAATGCGCACACGCAGAAAGAGCTGCGCGTGTGCATTCAGCCAGTCTCATAGGAAAGCATTCACAATGCTTTCCTAAGGAGGCTTGCGTGTTCTCACTGTGATTTTCACAGTGAGAATCACGCAAGCGCCTCTAGCGGCTGTCAATGAGACAGCCACTAGAGGATTTGAGGGCTGGATTAACCCATATGTAAACATAGCAGCTTCTCTGAAACTGCTATGTTTACAGCAGACAGGGTTAACCCTAGAGGGACCTGGCACCCAGACCACTTCATTAAGCTGAAGTGGTCTGGGTGCCTAGAGTGGTCCTTTAATTGTTAAATGAAAATGTGACTTGGTTGGCTTCAAAAGTGATTGCGATATAAAGAAAATTCCCACACAATTCTTACATTTTATAAAACATTAAGATCTTATTTCACTTTAATTTCATATAATGTACATTTTAAACCTGCTATCCCTGGTTTTACTTGACATTACTCTACAACACCCCCCTCTCTCCCCCCTTACTGACTTGTGAGTGGCTAGGTTTTTTCCTCTCCGCATGAAGTATCACCAAAAAATGGGTTCCTGAGATTAGTTTGTAAATCCTCCCACAAAGACATGACTAAGTTAAACCCACACAGGATAGTGACAAGAGTGGGCTGGTCCTTAAATCATCTTTAACCTAGTTAAATACTTGTTGGAAACAAACTAGTTAAGGAGATGGAAGATGTATGTTGGTTCGTGGCAGCAGCCATCTTTCAATTGATCATCTGGTTAATGTTAACATTTGCTGTTGATATCACACCACGCTTATACAGGTTTACATGTTTTAAAACTACATGGTGAATGTCTAACGCCCACATTATTTGTCACGGACAGTCCCTTCATCCTGTAACTTTTGGCCAAGATATATATATATAAAATTTTTCCACAGTATGGCTTAGAATGTAGTGGGAATAAATATCCATTTCCAACTTATACATTGCTAATACAGTTATTTGACACTGAACTGGGGTAAATAAATCTTATTAAATGGTCAACCTTAATTCTCTAACAGTATGTTGGAATGGAAAAACGATACCAGTCTTGCCAAGGTGGCCCATGAGAAATTATTGTGCGTAACCAATATTGTTGTACACTTAACAGCCAATTCAAATAGTCAGAGCATCCAAAGCCTTTAGTCTGTAGGTTCTAGGCAAAGATGACTCCTATGGCTCTGCTGTCTGTATGAAGAGGTAGATCTTCTTTGGACCTGATCTTGTTTCCATTTTTAAAACAAGAGTTGAAGTGTGAGAATGGATACCAGTGTGGAGACCAGGATCATGGAGGCTGGCAGACTTTTACTTCCACTGGCGGCTGAGCAGTGGTCTTCATTCTGGCCGATGCATGCAGCATATGCCATAACGTGAGGGATGTAATTCTGTTCATGAACGCCATGTAGAAGATGTGCCATTGGACCCTTGGCAAAGACGGCCACATCCTCCCCACCATGTGTCTCACTTTTCAGAGGTACTGCAGACTGCGCCAGGTAGTTGTTTTGAGCTGTGAAGAGAACGAATAGGACACTCAAATGTGTGTTTTTGTTGTTTTTGTTTTTTTGCTGTAAGGTCTCCCCTGCTATACTTTTTAGCAGTTTATGACCAGAAGCAATACATTTTTATTTTTTTTATTTTTTTTGTGGCAAAGCTCCCTTGGTGCTGGTCACCTTCTCCTCTCATGACCTCATTGGAGCATGGCCTCCTCCACAAAGGTTAATTCTAATGCTCTTCATAGAAGCTTTGGGGATGCAATGTGCAGAGAGCACCTTGCACACATCCACGCTTTCCAAAAGGAAAGCACTAAATCAACGCGTTTCCACGTCACACCTTTTAAAGGTAGACTTAACACCTAAACATAGAACTGTGGATGTTTATTATCCAAAGCGGCTGCACCAGTTACATAACCTTTCTTAATCCTTCCACACATTGAGATTATTTTTAAACATTTGTGCATGAACTGTCATTTAGGCATGAAGTAGGGAAAAAATGCTAAAACACTGGTTTTGGTTGAAATAGCATTTTGTGGAGTGGGAACCACCTCAGAAAGGGTTAACTCTCTCTCCTCCGTTCCATCGGAGACGAGGATAGTGATGCCAAATTTGGGCTAGCTAATGATGCTGTTAGAAGTGAAGTTAAACCTCTGGTAGCTATGGGGGGTTTTCTCTGCACATTGAGACTCCAGACACCATGATCACTTCAAATCAATGAAGTGTTCTTGGTCCTTAAAGTAACCTTTTAAATACGAACTGAGAAATGAGGTATGTAATGGACTTATACCCTCATACCTGGATGTATACAGATAGCTCTGTACCCTCCCCACCCCATTAAACTAAACCAAACTTGCACAAGTGTCCAGAGATCTAACTGGTAAAAGAATGGAAAATGTGACTCTCCATTAGAATGCTCCTGGCAGAAATGGTGTCTACTCACTGAAATCCACTGTAGAAACATTTTCCCGTGAGCCATCCACCATTTTGTAGCCAGGACCGTTGCCATAGAGGATTGAAGTAAATGGTTTTTGGTCGATATCACTTGGAGATGGTGCTAAACCTGAAAAGAGAGAAAGTTTGTTAGAAGCTGGGAGTATCTTCTCTCCTGAGACTGACAAACATGGTGCCTGCATCAGTCTAAGAATACAGGTTGTTGAATACCAAAGGTCAAACTTTGGCACAGAATACAATATTGCCACATAACCTACTTAAGATATTTTTTGCAAATGTCTACAATGTACGATGTGATTTGTCGGAATAAAATTCTTCATTGTTTGTGTGTATATATGCATGGCTACAACAGGCAGGTGTATTGGTGAGCATGCTCCTATCTGCAGACTGGTTGGGTGTAACGCTAGAAAGTGATTATTTTTTATTTTTTATTTTTTTATTTTACATGAATGTAATGTTTGATCTATACATAGCTTCTCACCAAAGATGGGGTTCCCCCGATGTGTATATCCACCGAAGGTAAAAACATGGGAGTGATCCGCCGTGACGACAGTCAGTGTATCTTCTTCTCGGGTCATGGTGCTGGCAACACCGATGGCAATGTCCATCTGCACTGCCTCATGTAGGGCCTGTTTTGCCTTTCCTTCATGGTGACCATGGTCAATTCTGCCTCCTGTAGACAAAAAAGGGGCATTTTATTGAGGGCCACCACCAGAAATGTTGGGGCCCCTAACTCAGCTCAGGGTCTGGGGCCCGCCTTAAATCCCACCCACAGGGTCCGCCTCCAAATCCCGCCCAAAGGAATACACACCCAGACACACACACTGATACAAAAGGACACATATACACAGATACTAACAGACATACTGAGATATATATACACACACACATACAGACTCACAGGCATGAGGACATACACTGACATTCATTCATTCAGGCATATATACATTCATATAGACATCCATTCACACATACATGCATACATAATGACAGGGGCCCTCAAACTTTTTAAATAGGGGGCCAGTTCACGGTCCCTCAAACAATATGAACAAATTCCTGTTTTGCCGCCCAGGGCCACCGGGCCCGTGACAACTGTCATGGTTGTCACCCACTGATGGAGGCCGTGATGTTATCTAAACCTGAACATTGGAGCAACTGCAAAGGAAACAGGCTCACACTTGAATAAATCCAAATTCTAATTACTCGGTAGGGTGCAAGCTTTAAAGTTTAAAAGCGTTAAAATATCAAACACAATCACAAATCTATGCTTGTGGGTTTTTTGTTTTTTTTTGTGGAAAAGGTGTGAAGGTCACTAATTGGGGGATATTTGATTCCTCTTTCAAGGCTGGATTTCCCATTGAGTAGCACAAGAACAATGTACCTCTTTCCACAGACTGATTTCTAAACAGTTATTGTAGTTTAAAGACTCATTACTGGGAGTACTATTGCCTTGGACCTCTGTTATACACGCCTACTAACGAAATTGAGCTCCTAGAAAAGAGGGACAGAGGAATTTGGGACCAAAATAGGGACTGTCCTTCCAAAATAAGGAGGTATTGAGTAGGAGCCTCCTATGTTTATCAGAGCTGCATTAACAGTTCTGGAAGGTGTAACACTCAGTGCTGTCCCAGCCTCCAGTGTCTGTGTGTGAGGCTGGACAGGAAGTGGAAGGGATCACTTCCCATCTGTCCACTATCCACAGGAAATGCCTTGCAGAGGGAGGAATTAGCACAGCAATGAGTCATGCATATTCTGTAACTGCTCGTACATCTGTTATCAATTGCAGGAGGGTGAGTAATTTGCAAATATCCCTTCAAACGTCACGTGCCTTAAAGCGGCATGTAACACTTGTGTACTTTGCCGAATTTGCAAAGTCCCCCGACCATGACGTCACGGTTGGGAAGGAGGGGGCAGGGTCCAGGTAAGTGAATTTACTTACCTGACCCTATCCCTCGCAGGCATGGCCATCATGGTCTGGCGTGGTCCTCCTCAGTGCTGATGTCCCTGTTCTCCACATTGAGGTCTAAGGGGATCCCACGAGACTGTGGGTTTATCCATAGTCTGCCACTTCCTGGCAGTCATCAAGGAAAATCAGGCAAAGGAGAAATACAGAGACAAAATAGACTCCACTTTGTCTCTGTGTATCTCTCGACTGGGTTGGACTTTTAGTGAAAGTTTAACAGTCAAAATGAGTATCTTAAAGATTCGATCTCTGACATCTATATTTTCTTTTTTTTTGGGGGGGGGGCAGGGGGGGGAAAGGTTGTTGTAAAATCCCCTTTTCCTGGATGCTAAATTTAAAGGGATACAATAGATCATGCCCTTGCAGTCTCCCTGCTCATTTATCTGCCTTTTACAAGTTTAAATAACATTGTTTATACAGTTCCTGTAGATCGTTGAACTACATGTGGCGACACAGCCTTCCAAACCACTTTCTGTAACTAGACCTTTAATATTTAACCTTCCTTTTTTGTATTACAGTCAGTTTAATTATTTTTTTTAATCATATACTCTGGTAGACTTCTAGACCATGCAGGTGTCTTCCATGTATGGATTTATTTATTTTTTTATTTCCATTAACAGAGCAGCAGGTAAAGACATCTGACTGAAAAATGAAACCATTTTGTTTTAATGCAGGCTCTGTCACTTGGAGCCAGAGGAGGTGTGGCTACAGCTGTATAAATAAACATGTGATTTACCTCCTAGATGGTAGTGGATTGAGCAGTGAGACTTCATAGGCATGATCTATACACCAAAACTGCCTAATTAAGCTAAAGTTGTTTTGAGGACTATAGTGTCCCTTTTACCCATTATAAAACCTAAACAAACATGTTCTTTATTTCCAAATGTAATCACTCAAAGCCTAAACTGGGGGATGTAGAACACCTTGGTGGAGAACTCCTGTGCAAGTCACAGTAACCCTTGTGGTTATGATGAAATGACGCATTCATAGATTGGAGACAGCACCATGGAGACACAGTTCCCACTTTCGCAGGAAGTAGAGACCTGTTGAACTTGGGTTTTCTTGGTGGGTATGGGCAATCAAACTGCTACTAAGTTAACTGCTGTCGTCAATTGTTGACATACCTTCCACGAGCAGGAAGAAGCCTCTGGGATTTTTCTTCAGGATATTAATGGACATTGTTACCATTTCTGTCAGAGATGGGTCTGTTGACTTATTTCGTTCCAATTCATAAACCAGATCCATGGGTTCAAACAATCCTGCAGCAAAAAATACAGTTTAACTGCATCTTACTATGAGATCTAGGCCAATGTGAGGAGCATTATGTAAGGGTCTTAGAATCTGATGGGGGCACTGGGTAGATCAGGACAATTGTATGAGATTGTGTATTGCTAACCCTGACTGGTTGCTGTAGTAATTTTGGAAATGACCGGGGCTGACTGTGTAACTGGTGGACCAGTCTGGCTGTATTGGGGGTGACCTGGTTGGGTTCTGACTGACGGGGATGGCTGTATTGGGTCCGGCCTGGTTGGGTCCACGTAGCAATTTGGGTTCTGACTGAAAGAGGATGGCTGTATAATGTGGTGCTAGAAGTGCAAAGTTGGGAGAGAGGTTTAAGCCTTTCTGCCCAAAGGGACCTTAAAATGACCAGTGTCGATTAGTCCTGGACTTTGATGCGGTGATTGCTTTGTCTGACTTACCAAGAAGGTAATCCACATCCTGCGGCCTGAGTGCCATTAACTGATCCCTGTTCCAGACGTAGCGTGCTGCCTATGGAGAAATCAGAATATTGTATAAGCATTCTCCTAAAGATGTTTTGTCTTGGCCTCAATGCAGAACACTTGTGGCGAGCATTGAGAGATTTAAAAAAAAAAAAAAAAAACATTTATTTTAAATGTCTAGTTTTATTGTCTATATGCAGGCCCAGTCTGTAAGTGCTATGAAAGACATATTGCAGCACTAGTCTTAATCTGACCAAAGCGTAAACTGGGCAGGATTTGAAGTATATATTCTAAAATATTATACAAGATTTTGTTTCCATCTTCAGATCTCTACAGTGATTTGTGCAAAATCTATAAAATTTACCAAAATGCATTCTAACAAAGTGTCTCACTTGCAGGATCCAATATGGGCTATGTGTCAACTCGAAGACAAGAGTCCGGCTCGGACCAAGAGATCTACTCTCTGTGTAAAGCAGGTACAGTCCAACCTTCACATGCAATGCAGACCTATACCCTTGGATATAAACTAAAATGTACTTTGTGTGCAGTAGACTCCATATCGTTCATTAAATTAGGTCTTATAACAGGCTCTTAAAGAGACCACAAATATTATGGCTGTGACTTAAGGGATAGAGGAGTGGATGTCGGTCTGAATGCATGGCCATTTTCCAGAGCCAATAGTTTAAATCATATGGTGGTTAAGGTTTCTGACCTGTAGTGTAGAACTTACCTGTTTGTTGGGTTTATTATCCAGCCAGACTTTGGTCAAATTCAAACCGTCATGCCGTGATCCGTTTGCCTTGGGGTCTTCAGGATACTCCACGTCTGGGGTGTTTAGGGGATACATGTACTTCCTTCCACCACCCATGATCACCTACATAATTTAGGGGAAGGGGGTGAGTACAGTTCAGTAGCCTACCCTCCTTGAGTGTAATGTTAAAATCAAATAAAGCAGCAGGGAGGATGTGACTTGTCTGAAACATAAATTTAAAAAACTTAAATATATCATTGTAATTTTATCTTTTAGCTAAAATGCTTCTGTTCACATTGAGTATGAAGTCTGTTCCTGTAAAGGTAAGAGTTAACTGAAATATCAAAGTGTGGTTGCATGGGTGAAGCTATACTTGTGTTGTGCAGTAGTTCTCCTTTCTGTTTTTTTTTTTTTTTTTTATTAACCGCAATACCTACTTACATCGATATTGGGAATGTTATTGAAGAGCTGCCAGGCAATGTCCTTACAGCCCTGGGTGATGGCATCATTGGGCATTTCGTGATCGGAGTACCAGTCCCGGTTAACGCAGTGGGCATATGCTGCGCTGGGGGTGGCATGGTTGATTCTTGTAGTTGTAACTACACCAACTGATTTTCCTGTGTGAAATGTTTAAAAATAAATTAATTTGCAGATTTGTGTCTTCACAAGGATTATATGCCCCCACACTCACCTGCATTTTTGGCCCATTTTAGGATGGAGTCCACTTCGTTGCCCTTGGTAGTATTGCACTGCCCGCGTACAGCTGCTGCATTCACACCCACTGTGCCCTCATTGGCTTTCACCCCACACAAGTAAGCTGTGGCAGTGCCAGCACTGTCCGCTACCTGTGCATCTGTGTTATAGGTCTGTGGGAGACAAACCGTGACACTAATCACCTTCTGTACAAGCTGCATGCACAACTTTAATTCTGTCTAGCGTAACACACGCACTACTCTCCTCTGGCCATGAATGTGTTAAGGGCCTTACTAAGACCTTGTTAAAGATTTTTCCTTGGCTAGCATCTGAGCAGAAATGTGATTAAAAGCCTAAAGCTGTAGAGTTGTATCCACCATTCTCCCTCTCTAGTGATCTCATGGGGCCTTGGTGTCCATGAAAACTTGGTTGGCATGATTTTATGCTGTTGAGGCACACTGAAAGTGCTGCCCCAGTATTTAAAGGTACATGCTGCAGTAGGGACGTCTATCAAGCAGGTATCCCAAATGATGTGCTGTGACATCTATCCCTCTGGCAGAATGAGTTTTGCATACTGTGGTTAGCAACCTTTTTGTCATCTCACCATCAGCAAGAAGAGATGTATCCAGGAAAATGTGGGTCTGGCAACCATTGTGGGATTCATTAGAATGGATATTCACGTTATTGACCATGTAACTGGATTTATAATGTTCTACATAGGTGGGTACAAGACTTGAGTATTTTCTTTTCAATGTTTAAATGTTAAGCCAAAAGAACGCTGGGAAACGGAGTCTGCACAGAGTGTGGAGCTGGATTAATAAATGGAGAACATTATCCCTGCTAACTGCACATACTGCAACCTGGCTGGATGAGAGTAAAGTTCATTCTCCTATATTTAAGCTGAAGTTTGACTTGTGGACTGGTGACTCCCTGCTCACAGATTACTTATTATAACAGGCAGGAATGTGCTGGTACACTGCTCCCCTTAATGAGGCCAACGGTGATTCCCACAGAAAGGATTGGGATTGTGGCCGTGGTCCGGTTTTAGGATGCAAGGTGCTTTCCAGAATTTTTATTTTTTTTATGGTCTGGTCAGACTGGTAAACCGAACAAGGATTCACTCATTGGCAAAGTTATATTTGTGTATTGGTTTTTCCCAAAAGTTAACATTTGAGTCTAAAATTAAAATCTGGGTTAGGAAGGAGAAAACTGACGAACACTAGTGAAACCATACTTGAATGTTTCAACATCAATAAGCCATTTTTCTAAGCTGAAATATTTCATTACAGGTTTTCTTGGTTTTTGCAGTCTATATAAAATTCTCCTGGGGCGAGAGTCCTCCGTCTGATACAAGGTTTTGGAAAGTCTGGAACACAGCTGTTCAGATGTCGAACACTGCAATAATTTTACTGTACACTTGCGTAATTAAACCATTCACACATTCCTTAGAGCGAGATGTCCTTTGAAGGGCTAAATGGACAGTTTAAAAGTAACCTCTAAAAAAACATAAACCTAACATTGTTTTTTTGATTTGGATCTAATTCAAACTGCAGCATTTAGGCTAAAAAACTGAGACTTTGAGAATTTACTATTGTTATTTTTGCAGATTAATTCAAAGGTTATCACATTTCAGAAGAATAAAAGTCTCACCTTTGCAAGAGCCACATATGGAAACTTATCCATTTCCAGTTCTGTTTCTTCTCCAGGCTGTCCATCAAGCTGTCCTTTAAGGATTCGAGTAGCAGTCACAGTTGGTACCCCCATACCTGAGAAAAGAAGTCCTGTTTAAATGAACTAGTCTACTGATTCTAAAGGTAGTGTTCATGCTACCTGCCTACACCACACTGGGTTTAGTCTTCTTGCCATCCCTGAGGCATATAGGACCATTTTTAGATTTGGAGACCAACTGTTCCTGAGGAACATGGGACCGTGCCAGGTTTGGGGCTGCTTACCGCCCCAAGAGACATGCGACCGCACCAGATTTAGGGTTGCTTACCGTCGCCAAGGAACATGATGACATTCTTTGCAACCTTGGTGTTTAGTTTCTGAAGGTCCAGAGCTCGTTTCAAGGTTTGCTGGGCTTGATCCCGCCAGTAATCTGGATTCTTTTCTCTCTCTGCAACATGGAAGACAAATGGCTCAACATTCAGAGCCCAGAAGCAGATAAAGAATTTTTGATAAACAAATGGAAATGTATCGCTGGTTCAAATTTCCCTATGTTTTACCTGAATGTGATGGTTTGTGTAATAGAAAGCTCTTATTGGCAACAGGGGGAAAAAATGTATAACGTGAACCTCGTCTTCAGATGATTACCACAAATTACATTGGCCTGTTTATACAAAAAGTAAAACTAATATCGGCTGTAAAGACCATTTAAAGGCAAAACCTGCGAAAAACAAGTGGAATAATCTTGCTGATTGTTTCATGATAACACTTCACCCTGAAAATTGCCATTTAAAATCTCCATTTACTGGCTTTCCATGCTCTTGCATGATGGGCTGAGTTGTTCATGTTTTATAAATTCTATTTAACCTTGTGACAACTGGTCATGTTATTTCCTGGTTTGGTTAGCTCAGTGGAACTAAACTCAAGAGGCAGCAATTGCCCAGAGCACCTGCCTTCCATAGCTTTCTCATTGAGCTGCTTTGGAAAGTCTGTGATTGGACAGCCACAAACTCTGGGCGGGGCTAGAAAAAGGCTGCAGTTTATAAATGTATTTTTGTTTGGGCAGTAGTTTCTCTCTTAGGTCTAAAATGAGATGATTTTTAGAGTAAAGTCTGCCATTTTGTGCAAAAATTTCCATTTTAGATCTCCAAATTTAGGAGAGAGAAATTAAATGGAACACTCTTTTTTTTTTCTTCGAAAGGTAGTTAAATTGATCAGTCTCAGGAAATAATGGCATATACTAAAAATGTTAAGATGTAAAATAAATCTGGTGTCTATTAAATCTGACAATTTGCCAAAAACCAAACTTAAGAGATGGCAATATTTCCAAAAATCTCCTGCAATGTGTCACAGTATGGCTGTGATGTTGAACGTAATTTACCTGGGAAGGAGCTGCATGTGGAGAGTTCAACAACCAGCAAAAATATCCATAGTTTCACCACCATCTTGGCTCCTCGGGGCCGGACTATTGCCACGAACTTGTATCTTGATTTTTAGAACAGTTCCAGTACTTTGGGACTAGTCCTGGTGGGAGAGAAGGCATCCGTTGTTAAAATCCCTATTGATTTTTTCCTTTTTTTTTTTTTTTTACTTCACTAAACACATGTACTCTTGTTAACAGCCCATCCAGCAGAGCACGATGGTAAATTGATGACTTTGTTTTAAAAAGTTATTCTTTTGAATTTGTTTTTCATTATATTTAGAGCGCCATCAAGTTCCGCAGCGCTTTACAATGGGTGGACGAACAGACATGTAGTTGTAACCAGACAAGTTGGACACACAGGAACAGAGGGGTTGAGGGCCCTGCTCAATGAGCTTACATGCTAGAGGGAGTGGGGTAAAATGGCACAAAAAGGTAAGGATAGTATTAGACTAATGACAGTTGCAGAAGAGGAATCAGTCAGGAGCTATTAACAGTTTAATTGACACACTTTTATGAAGTGGGTTTTTAATGATTTTTTTTTTTTTTTTTTTAAGGCGTGGAGACTGGGTGAGCATCTAACGGAGGAGGGAAGCGAGTTCCACAGGAACGGTGCAGCCCTCGAAATCTTGAAGGCGAGCATCAGAGGTGGGAGTACGGACAGGAGATAAACTTAAGTCTTCAGCAGATCGTAAGGGCGTGGACGGTACATACTTGTGTATAAGGGATGATAGGTGGGAGCAGCATTATGTAGCGCTTTGAAAGCAAGAACCAGAATTTTAAATTGAACTCTCTTTCATAGGAAGCCAATGTAGGAACTGACAGAAGGGTGAGGCATGGGAGGTGCGGGTGGACAGGAAGATGAGCCTCGCTGCCGCATTCATTATGGACTGTAACGGCACAAGTTGGGAGCACGTAAGACCACTGAGAAGCGGATTAAAGTAGTCAAGGCGAGACAGGACCGTGGAATGGACCAACACCTTAGTCGCATCTGGTGTTAAGTAGGGACCAATGCGCGCAATGTTTTTGAGATGGAAATGACAGGATTTGGCAATAGATTGAACATGAGGCTTGAAGGAGAGGTCGGAGTCAAAGAACACCTAGGCAGCGAGCCTGCATGGTGGAGCTGATGGTAGCACCGTTGACTTGGAGGGAAACAGACACAGGAGTAACAACACTTGAAGGAGGAAAGACCAGAATTTCAGTTTTGGTCAAGTTTAGTTTAAGGAAGTGGGCAGCCATCCAGTTAGAAACAGCAGAGAGGCAGTCAGATACATTAGTCAAGGGGGACGGGGAGATATCAGGGGAGGACAGGTAGATTTGCGTGTCATCCGCATAGAAATGATATTGGAAGCCAAAGGAGCTAATGAGTTTACCAAGGGAGGCAGTATAGATGGAGAACAGTAGGGGACCAAGGACTGAACCTTGGGGGACCCCAACAGAGAGGAGTTGGGGAGAAGAAGCGGAGCCAGAGAAACACTGAAAGAGTGCTGGGAGAGGTAGGAGGAGCAGTATCTTGTAGACAGATATTGCAGAGGATGAGAAGAAGCTGTTTATGATCAACAGTGTCAAAAGCCGCAGACAGGTCAAGGAGAATTAGGGTAGAGTAGTGACCACGAGATTTTGCAGTGAGTAGATCATTGGATACTTTGGTCAGTGCCGTTTCCACAGAGTGCTTAGCGTGGAAACCAGACTGAAGCGGGTATAGCAGAGAGTTGGACTTGAGGAAGTCTGTTAATCTCACATAAACAATTCGTTCAAGGATCTTGGATGCAAAAGGCAGTAGCGAGATAGGACGATAGTTGGATGGGGAGTTAGGGTCAAGATTGGGCTTCTTTAGAATTGGGTTTACAGTTGAATGTTTGAAGGGCGATGGAAATATACCAGAGGAGAGAGATTGAGAATTTTAGTGAGAAAGAGAAGACCGAGTACGGATGAGATGTGAGGGAATTGGATCTAGGGAACAGGTGGGGGGGTGGGAGGACCGGAGCAGAGCAGAAACCTCTTCCAGTATAGCGGGTGCGAATGAACATAGAACAGCAGAGGGAGACGTTAGGGGAAGTATTGTAAGGGGAAGAAGCAAGATGAGCGATCTCTTCTCAGTTTTTGGAGGTAGATAGCAATTCTTAAAGGAGTGGGTTTAAATAGGCGGACAGTGAACTTCAGAAGAAGTGAGTTTGAGATGAAAGTCATGTATGGTTGTTTTTTAAATTACTGCAGATGGAGCGGGCATTCCAGAGTGCACAATGAATTTTGGTAAGGTAGGGTATTGTGATGAGGTTTCTGGTTGTCTTAGTGTGTGTATAGAAGGTGAAGGGCCCTGGATTGGGAGAGACATCAGCTGCTAGAAGTAGGAGGAGAGAAAGTGACAGGAGCTGTGAATGGGTTTTATATGCATGGGGTATAGAATGAGAGATTGTGGGTCGGAGTGAGAGAGTAGAAAAATGAGTGTAAGGCATGAGAGAAAGGGGGAGTGTAGCAGAGAAGGGCATATGTAAATGTGGATGAGTGAAGTGGGTGTAAGGAGAGATTTTTATACTGAGGGAGACTGAGGAAATAAAGAGGAGGAGAAAACAGATCATTGCTAAACTGTGAAAAATAAACTGCCTGTACATGGGCCTATAATAAAGATACAAATGTTTTGTTTAGAGTCTGACAAACTAAATGTGATCTTTGGATATAATGTGAGTAAAGTGCAGCCTATTTGAGTCTGGGGCTGCACTTTTTTGAATGAAGTCCCATTTGTTCTTTGGAGTAGTGCATCCAAAGGCCAGCATTCTTGGACACTCTCCACATGGAGCCCTATGGCAAATGCTGCCACAATAATGTAACTTTCAGGGCATGCCCCTTTTACACCCTTCATGTAGGAACCTTGTTCCAGCCCTGGGAGGTTGGTGGGTTTTTAGAAGCCATAGTAAAATTATGGGTAATGTGAAGATCAAAGACTACAACCACTAATTGTAGGGATGGGGGATGCCCATTATACCACAGTCCCTATCTCAGTGTTACCACCTAATAGTTAAATATTGGAACGTTTTAGGGTTCAGATACCTATATATTCTATATGAAAAAAAACACGGACAGTATTTGACTTCTCACGCTTAACCTCCGCTTCAATTATCATGCCAACTGGATCCTTCTAGGATTATGTTAATCACCCACTGCCTTGGTAAACTTTGATCTATTGAGTTTGAAGACCCCTAGATCAAGATTCTGAGAGTTTGAGGTGCCACTCTCCGGTTTCTGGTTTGGAAGGATGCCACCAGCCACAGTTGAATTTAAAGATTTTCCTGCGGGACTAATCTGTAAACATAGTACCTAACAAGGGAAGGGTGACAGGTGGTGTCACCGCTCCAGCCTTGCCAATGAACTCCTGGCTTCACTAGGATCAATTCTGTTTGTGTGTAATCCTTTATATGGGGATAATAGAATGCATGTTACTTACAACCCCTTTTTTGTTTTTTTTTTATGCTGTCCCAACCACACCTCCCCTGACTGTCTCACACAGCCTGCATTGGAAAAAAAATTTTTGTTTTCAATCAGATGTTAACTTATTTAATTTTTTTTAATCCCACTGCTCTGTAAAGTGAATTTTAATTACACAAGCTGCTCCTGCAAGGTTTAACAAACTATTAACAGAAATTAGACTGTAATAAAGGAAGTTTAAACTTCAATCTCTTTACAGGAAATGTGTAGGGAGGCTGTCTGTCACATGCAAGGAAGGTGTGGCTAGAGCTGAATAAACATGTGAATTGAGCAATGCGACTGCAGGGGGGCAATTATATACACCAAAATTACTTTAAGATAAAGTTATGTTGGTGTCTTTAGAGGGGCAGTCACTGACAAAGTACAAAATAAAAATCACTGTTTAGTGGGTATACCTAAATGGAACCGTGACTGCATTTAATTAGGCTTCTTTTTTTCCTGCCCAACTGTCTGTTCAATCAGACTTCCCAATGCAGATGAGTGAGAAGTTTTTGCAAGACTGGTGCTCTGGGCAAAAGCTGCCTCTTGAATTTAGTAACCCTGAGTTAAACCAAGGAGTACATTAGTTTAATAGCCAAGCTGGTGAAACAAAGTTTTTAGTTTTTTAAAAGTGTATTCCTACTGAAATCTGCACTTTCTAATGTAAAGGACTTATTTTTCACACATAAAGCACTTAAAGGCCCACTATAGGTACCCAGACCACTTCAGCTTAATGAAGTGGTCTGGGTGCCAGGTCCAGCTAGGATTAACCCTTTATCTATAAACATAGCAGTTTCAGAGAAACTGCTATGTTTAGAAATTGATTAATCCAGCCTCTAGTGGCTCTGACAGCCGCTAGAGGCGCTTCCGCACTTCTCACTGTGACTTTCACAATGAGAAGACGCCAGCATCCATAGGAAAGCATTGAGAATGCTTTCCTATGGCCTGACTGAATGCGCGCGGCTCATGCTGTTCATGCACATTCAGCCAATGACAGAAGAGGGAGAGGAGGAGAGTCCCCCCGCCTGGCGCTGGAGAAAGAGGTAAATTTAACCCCTTCCACCCCCTAGAGCCCGGCGGGACAGGGGCCCTGAGGGTGGGGGCACTATAGTGGTCCTTTAAGCAAGCTGGTGAGCAATGTTTTGCAAAATGCTCAGTTGGACTATGGCTTTATTTATTTCTTGCGGAGCTATCTCATGCCATTATTTGTAAATGATCTTGAACAAGTCTACTTTAAAATATGTAGCTGAAATGGGAAGAAACTGGAATAATGTAATTCGACACACAAACTGGTTCATGAAGGACAAATACAAAATTAGATCTGCGTTACACTATGTATTCACTGCATGCGTGTTGGGACTTTCATAATTCTATATAATCCTTAAAACCATGTCATAGCTGAGATTGGGAGGGATGTCCTAACTTTTGCTTTTTCTTCCTGCTAAACTAGATATATTTGGGTGTGATGTGGGTTTTATAAGCTTGTTTCAGTGAGGATGTGATGAATTGTTACTCAACACCCTTCTCATTCTGAAAACATTGGACAATCCTGTGCTATTTTTTTTGTCACAAAGTTGTCTCTGGCCTAGTGTGACCTCTGCCAAACACAGATCTTAAAATAGGTTTGGTGTTTGGGGGTGTGTGACACGTGTATTATTCGAAAGATACACAGCTGCCATGTCCAAGGAAGTAACTGGGTGCAGTGCTGCCCACACTGTAACATGTATAACAAGTACTTGCAACATAATCTTGGTTTGCTGACTTGTGTATACATATACGCAATGTGCATTTAAAAAAATAAATCCCCTCTCTTTTAACAGCCCAAATTGCATACATTGGCATTTGTGTGGGGAGATATTAAACCTTCAAACTTTCCCATTCTTCACTGGTTATGAAATAAAATTCTGCAAAGCTCCTGAGACTGACTGTGTTAAAAGGGTTTCCGTTGCACTGGTGAAGTCAGTGCTGCTACAGTAACATACCTATTGGAAGGACCAGATCTATATGAGCCTGTTAAACCTCTCTGGGTCAAACGGCTCCTTTTTAAACTATTTCTGAAGTTTACAATACTGACATATCAGATTGAGATCCAACATGACCGCTTCCAGGATTATAATTTATTCAATGTGTTGCCCAGATTAATCATTGGGCTGCAGAAGCATCATGGGAAACATAGTTCACCGCGATCTGCTTGTATTTCAGTGTCCATTATTACACTATATAATCAGATTATGGGTTACTTATAGATTAATCTGCCATCTGCTATCAGGAATATTTTTGGATATTTGAGTCAGATAAAGATATGCTTTAATTGCTCTAAACTTCCACCAGACTTTGGAAACTAAAGTCAGCTCTGGCTAGTGGAAGATCACACCTGGTACCACAATGGACCCCCACTGGCTCTGAGGAAAGCAGTTAATCCCCCTACCCCCACGTCTGCATTAAGCTATAGACTTTTAAAGACTGGTACTTTTGCCAGTAAGCCAGCCGCTCCCCCTCACTCGCCTAAAGCAGAAACCAGGAGGGCAAACTGCTGGAACAAGGAAGATATATTCCCCAAACAGGGAATCTTAGTGGTAACAATTCTGATACCCTGTCCATTCTAAGAGGTCATCTAGGGAGAGGTTTGCAATCGCTTGTAATTCAGGACTTTGAATTTGTCAAGGAAATGAGACAGAGCTTCATACTGTGAACAAATACACACTTCACCATTACACTTGTGGAAGCAGACTCTAAAAATATTGAGTCAATTGCATAGAACATCCCTTTAAACAAATATTACATTTTTATACATTTCTGCTCTAGGTGTAACAAGATGCCACTGGTGGGTAGAAGCTATTTTACCCACAGATACATCCTTTTCACAGTATTTTGGCAGAGGGGACACTGCATTATCTTATCTAGTACCAGATCTGTATTTTGGGACACATTGAATGGAACTTTACAACATAAATATTTATTCGCTCTTTACATATCACACCCATGAAGTAAATCCCTTAACCAGATATAACGTTTGCTTGTAGCTGGCTGCAATATGAAGCTTTTTAACTCCTATATTGTAAGAGTATTTGAGCTTCACCTCTCCTGTCAATATGAACTCTTATATCCATTACTTGTCAGAAAGTCATTCTGGAATTGTAAATTGCTGCGGATATACTGGAGTATATAAATGGAATAGATAATCCACTTATCCCCGAGTTAGAATTATTGTAGTCTTGTATTCTGTAAAAGCTGGACAGTTTCATAAAAGGGAACTTAAAGCAGCACTGTCACCATGAACATGAAATACTCATTTTTACTGTCGAGATTTAACTAAACTTCCAACCCATTCAAGAGACTTACTGAGAGGGACTACTTTCTCTCTGTAGGTTTCCTACACCTGACACTTCTAGGCACTGGGTGGAGTTACCGCCATTGAAGTGTCAATCCCCCCCCAGCTGCCACCAGAGATGGCTGCAGGGTATTGGCTCTGGCGATGCAGGGTCTCACAGGATCCGCCATAGAACTTAATGCTTTACTCTCGCGCATATGTAAGGGTCCAGCAGTGACATTGATGCACCAGGACTTGAAGAGGAACCGCTGGAGGAAGATGGCAGTGCCCACAAGACACAGGTTCAGGTAAGTAAATCTCGCCTTTACCTGCTGCCACTGCCCCCCTCCCCCCCCCTAGTGGCAGTCATTCGGGGATCTCTGCAAATTCTGCAAAGTCCCCAGACACGGACAGTGACACTTCCTTAAAACAAGACTTGGCTCTCAATGTACCCATTGTACAGTGCTACAGAATCTGATGTGGCTATATAAATAATATAATAAGACATTATTATTATTATTATGTGGGTATCGTGTCTGGATGAGATACTAATCTTGGATTGCAGTATAACATGCTGCCACCATGGTCTGTCACCTGGCTCTTACCCCTAGCTCTACCCATTCAGCACTCACAGGTCCTGTTTGCTTACCCTGCCAGCCTACAGGTGAAATAGCACAGACAAGTCAGCACAAGGAAAGCCACAATGGAGCAGACCACGGTGGTGAGGATGAAGTGTGTCTCATTGTCTAGCGCCATGGTTGGATGTAGATCTTGGAGCTGAGACTCAATGGAATAGACAGTTTATCTGCTGGCTCTCTCTCTCGCTCTCTTACACAATCTGTGTATGTCAGCCGATTACTGGATTTATAGCTCCTTGGATTATTCCGCAAGAGGAGATTAAATGTACATTGAAACAGAGATGCAGTTACACTACTACCCTGCTGTACTAATCATGCCAGTCAGCATGCGCTCCTGTTGTAAGTACTTGACCCTTTATCACATAAAATAACCTTAATTCCATGATTCACAGTGTAGTGGTTATAATTTTAAGATCTGTACAAAGACCAGTTAAACCCTTGTACGTTCTTAGTCTGAGTGTATGAAGCGGGCCCCAGGAAGGAAGTCTAACCTCTCCATTAAAGGTTCATTCCGAATGTGTACCACAATCTGTTGCACGTATCTATTTTTATTTTATTTTTTAATATAAAAATTGGCTCTGTGCCCAGTGACTTATAAAATAATATTCTCTTTCTAAACTTGGCCACGCGACTTGTCACCATAATGGAAGGATGGCCACAGAAGTAAAAAAATAAACTTAATCTGTTTCTATACAACTGCCTAGTTCTGACTCGCCATCTTAAAGAAATGCAAGTTTTAATAAAATGCATAAGGAAAATAGACTATGGATGTTTTATCTATAGCAGTCAAGTTGACAAAACTTTGCAAATTACCCTACAATCCATCAGTAAAATGCCACAGAGGCAAATCACAGGCATTGTGGGCAGAGAACAAAATGGCTGCACCCAGGTATTGAAATCCAATACAAGGAAGAAGATTAATAAATTTAAAGTGGCAATGGAGGGAGGGTAATAAGATGTATGTGGCATGAGGACCGGACAACCAAAATGTTGGTGGGAAGGGGGGGATAGGTAGACTGCACAAGGTGTGTTTTAATAGCATGTACGATTAAATCTGCACACAATTTCATTTTATCCTATGTGGGTGTATTTCTCAACGTATTGGTTGTTTCTATTAGGAAGCAGTCAGACTGCTCGCTCTGTGAGCTTGCAATCAGATTGTCTGGTTGTGCGCACCAATGCAGTCAGCACTTGCCCCCATGCTAATCAGCATTCAGATGTCTGAAGACATTGCATTCCCTCATGCTGTCATCGCAAAGATACATCTGGTCATTCGGTTATAAAGAAACCAATTTAAAAGAATAGCTGAATGTTCTTATTAGGATGGCGGCCTACTGTTAGTCTCCATGGAGTCGGAGTACTTTCAGTAACTATGTAACCAGTAACTGGCTGATCTGGAGAGTTGACAGCAGAATGGTGGAGTGACACTAAATGTAATCTCCCTGGCCAGGAGCGAATAATTTTTTTGTATAACCAGGTTATAATTAAATGTGTGTATTTACACACCCAGTAGTAATTTGATTATCTGTGCTGATATACCTCTACTAAAATGTATTGTTTCATTGGGCATAATGGAAATATCGTAAATTCCATAAACTTTGCTGGACATTGAATAGGCTGGGCACACGTTTTGTGTTCCATACATGCAGAATACCTGGCTTGCCAACATGGAAAGCAGTTTAGATATCTATACTAGTTGAGCTTTCCTGGGGACTCCAGGCCTGATAGCTGCCATGTATTCTGTCAGGGTGAGTAAAGACTTACTGGCCAGACATGTCACAGTAACGGGCTACTTGTCACAGGTGTCTTCGTGTAGTTTACCAGATCATCCACTACTACCATTACAGTGCAGGACAGGATACTCTACGTACTAGATAAGTGGTTTAAACCATAATCAATGAGAACTAGGATAGAAAAGGGGTTCTATAGTACAGACTCCCTATAAATCCTCTTCACCCCTTTGGTATTGTCTGTTCGGTGCTCTGCATGTCCTTGTAAGGTGAATGTGACCTATTGAGAGGCCTGTTGCACAGAAGTCTACATTTTAGTAATTGCAGAAGTATTAATGGTTACTGAAAAGTAGACCTGGGTTCACATACAGGAAATACCAGCTGGCTGTAAATGTGGTATGATGGTCTGAAATGGTAATCTTACACCCTTTTGGCTATAGTAACTTAAATTCTAGCAACACTTACTAATCATGTGGCAAGTAGCAGTGTCGGTGTGTTGAAAATATCCAGACATGTATTGAAATATCATATGGAGGGCTGTGAGAGGTGTTGGGATATGGCTGGTTTTCTCTAGCTTGCATGGCTCATACAATACACTAGGTTGATATGCCCACTCTTTAAGCAAACCTGTCTCAGTAATGTGCTAGTTAGCGCACTGCATCTCTTGTACACTCAGTGTTCCACCGTTCTGGCTCTCTGCCTCCCAAACTTGGAAGCTATGGAACCCCATCACTAACTAAACTGTAAGCTCATGGGTACAGGGTTCTCCTTGTTCTATAAAAGACTGTATTTGATATTGAGATATATATTTTATAGCATTTAAAAAATATTCTCTCAGTGAGTGACCACGCAGTAAATTCAACAAGTTCCCGTAGTCACTACCCCAATACTTGGTATTTTGCTCCAAAATTGCTCTGTACTGCCCCGATGGGGGATGTGAATAACTGCAGGAAGAAACTTCTATAAAACTAAGTTGTGTATTATCACCATTTTTATAGCGCCAACAGATTCAGTTTTTTGCTTTACAATATAAGGGGGAATTGAATTATAAATAGGACAATTACAAGAAAACTTACAGGAACGATAGGTTGAAGAGGACTCTGCTCAAACAAGCTTACAGTGTGTAGGATGAGGATAAAATGACAACCAGAAGACACTGCACGTAAAGCAGGAGATTGTAAGTATAAAACCACTGACCCAAAACTGCCATTTTAATATTGCGTGTTAAGAGTGCCTTCGATTATGGCAATTTTTGAAAATACGATCATATATGAATAGTGACTAGACCTGAAACTGTGTATGAGAATGCTACTGTAACCTGTTCCTGGCACTGGGATTTCCTGCATTCTAAGGAGAATCCGACTGAAGGGGTTACGATGTTGAATTCCCCTAGGTTCCGGCTTTCCCCCAAAATAAAGCTGGAGGGTGAATGGGAAATGCTAATGACCATGTTAGAGGAGACTGTTGCATATTGAAATAATGAATCCACAATTTGTCTCTTTTCCAAAGCTTCTATGCATGATCTGACATGGTCCCATTGTCCTCCAGCAAACCATGCTGTGCCAGACAAGGCCTCCCATGGCTCTTCTCTCTACACTGAGGAAGTGTAAGCCTTTAAATTCCAGCAGCTTTGTCCGTTTAAGTGTTTCTCTTAAGACCTGCTTTGAAGTTGGCTTTCTGCATTTTGTTTGTGTAAGAGGTTTGCCAATAGGGAAGGCTGTGACACTGCCTAATTCAAAGATTGAGAGGATGGCATCCCTACGGAGGCCAAATACAGATATGGGACTTGCTATACACATGGGAAGTAGGTAGGTCAATGGGTGAAGTTTGACGGTAATGACTCCCTATTGTTTAACCTCTGAAATTTAAGGAGTTTGACTCTGGCTAAGTAATCTGTTAAATGTTGCACTCGAGTTCCAGGTTTTGTTAGATTTGAATGAGTGGATGCACATTTATTTCTCAGAGTGCAGGATCTGAAACTGTATTGTGGATAAGACCAAAGTGACTTACTGGCAAATTTGAAAGGGAAAGATTTCCTGGAGAATTTCAGGCATGTCTAAAATCGCTCTATGGGAGTTCATGTACACGTCGTTTTGAGGTAGGTGGGAAGTTTGAGAAATGCAAGCTGTGAATAACTTTTGTCTGTAACATTCTTCCATTAAGTAAATACTAAATCTTAGTCACAAGGGGGCGCTTCAGAGCCAGACTGGGGATGAGTTACTGGATTTGCTCATTAAAGACAATCTTTGAGCTTTCCTGAGTCTGGGAAAGGGGGTTTGAAAGGCCTACAAATCTCCTTTTCTGCACACAATCTAAACGGTTTGCACTTGTCTGTTACTTGACACGAATGACCTTATGGGAAAAGGAGGGGCTGCATTACTAGCAATTAGTGACATGCAGCTCCCCTTCCCCCAGAATTATTTGGGGAGGCTGGGAAAGGAGGGGCCCCACTGAGGGCCGGGTAAGGAGGGGGCCCACACTGCATCGCTTGGTGTACAGATTAGGAATTGCCTTGTGAAAGGACTGTCTTGGATTGAGCCTTTACAGGGGCTACACATCACCCGCTAACAATTTATGATCAAGCTCTTTGCTCAACATATATCTTGCATATAAATTCCATCTCATAATTAACTTTATTCAAGAAAAGTCTTCAGCAGAGCTGAAACCAAAATCCAAACCACATGCTCCCTGTACTAGGTTTTTTTTTTGTTGTTTTTTTTTAAATGTAACCTCATTCAAAGATTGGCTAAAACTTTTGAAACTGCATAGAAATACTAATCTCATAAGGCCTATGGGGGAAAAAAAAATGTTTAAGCCTATAGTGCAGCCAGACTTCAGTCTGTTTAGGGACATAGTATGGTAAGCCACTTCAATAAGATAAATGGGTGAGAAGCATGGGAGATGCTGCCATTGTGGAGAACGGTTTAGAATATCAGTTGGACTTTGGGTCTGGGTCACATGATGTGATGGGAAAGATAGCATGTTTCCTCTGGAGCTGAATCAGATTGAATATTCTAACCAGACGTCACCTTTTCGCCAATTGGATGCAGGGATCCCTGTAGACTGACACAGGAAACGGGGAAGTGTGTTGTGGGGGGTGGACAAAACCAGGGAAAGTATGTATTTGTAAAGGGATATTCTTGACCCAGTAGGCTGATCTCCAGATGATTTGAAGCACATTCTTGTCACTGGAGTCCAGCACCAGTTGGATAATGTATATTACAGGTTTATTTGAACATTGGCAGTCAACTGGGAAGGGTAACATGCACCCTGGCAAGTGGACTTGAATTGGAATTGGCTTGAAATACAGGGACACATTATACATTGAGAATATGTAACTAACTCACTGTAGTAAACTGAGATTACTCTCAAAGACTCAAAGTACTTGTTCCCAAACAAATTTGTGGGCAACTCTGTCCTAGTCCCAGAATACAGACCAGACACTATACAGGTTGATGTAATCTTTCAGCCTTCATATTACTGTTCAAATAACTGGACCTCCCCTTACCAGCCATGAATTGAACCACTTCCACAGACAGAACCCTGGTCTAATGAGCCTTTTCTCCTAAAGGGCATCCACACACCAACCCAAACTGGCCACCTTCTGGGCTAGGAGTTAGTTTACCTCAACACATGTGCACAATGTATCCCTCCCCATTGTGTAAAGATCGCCCCTTTCACTGTAAAGTGTGACTAGCATGGAATATCCTGATTATACCCAACTATATTGCAAATCAATGGCTGTCTCCATGTTATTTTCTATTTGTATAATGTTAATCAATGTAAAAGGCCTGGGATAAGGGCAGGCTGGTGGACTGAATTTTGTAGCAGTATTACACTGAACTAACACCACATCCTCCCCACCCATATATAGAATAGCTAGCTGTAATAAAATCATGCAAGCAGCCCGGACCTGTCATGTTAATGGAAGGATTAGGGCCAATGTATACACCTCTGGCAGCAGAATGTGAAGAAGGAAGTATCAGATGAATGATAAACATTTTCATCTCTTCTGGGAACTTTTTCCCACCCCAATGACCTACTTCAAAAAAAAAACCCTTGTATCCCAGGGAAGCTAGTAAAACGTCCCCATGCCAGTTTAGTGGGCTTCCAGTGGATGATGCACAAGTCCTATTCATAAAGCCCCAGGCAACTGTCAACACAAAGTTGTTTACTGTCATTGCCCTGCCTCCCCCAATACAATGGAGACCATTCTGACGCTGGGAAGGGATTAAGGCATCTTGCAAAATATATTTTGATATAAATATTCTATTTTGAAGATTGGGTCACTGAATTAACTCCTACAACACAATGGGTTGGCATCAACTGTATATAGTCTGAAAGTTCTGATCCCTTGTTATAAATTGTATTTTATAGGACAAAGTGCTAAAATCCATACTATCTTCTCTCTCTATAATACACAGCCCCTGAATAACCTGTATGATACACTAGTAGCAGTGTAGCACACAGCCCATGAATAACCTGTATGATACACTAGTAGCTAACCTGTATGATACACTAGTAGCAGTGTAGCACACAGCCCCTGAATAACCTGTATGATACACTAGTAGCAGTGGTAGCACACAGACCATGAATAACCTGTATGATACACTAGTAGCGGTGTAGCACACAGCCCATGAATAACCTGTATGATACACTAGTAGCGGTGTAGCACACAGCCCCATGAATAACCTGTATGATACACTAGTAGCAGTGTAGCACACAGCCCATGAATAACCTGTATGATACACTAGTAGCGGTGTAGCACACAGCCCATGAATAACCTGTATGATACACTAGTAGCGGTGTAGCACACAGCCCATGAATAACCTGTATGATACACTAGTAGCAGTGTAGCACACAGCCCATGAATAACCTGTATGATACACTAGTAGCGGTGTAGCACACAGCCCCTGAATAACCTGTATGATACACTAGTAGCAGTGTAGCACACAGCCCCTGAATAACCTGTATGATACACTAGTAGCAGTGGTAGCACACAGCCCCTGAATAACCTGTATGATACACTAGTAGCAGTGTAGCACACAGCCCCTGAATAACCTGTATGATACACTAGTAGCAGTGGTAGCACACAGCCCCTGAATAACCTGTATGATACACTAGTAGCGGTGTAGCACACAGACCATGAATAACCTGTATGATACACTAGTAGCATAATCGGATGGCATATGGTGCATACATAGTGTTAGACATTGCAATATTCTATAAACTATTTCCAGTTGTATAAAACAGGTTTTATTTTTATCTCTGACTTTTTAAAGAATCCACACACCGGATTATGAAACCCCAGAAATGTATGAAGATTTCAAAACAAACGACCATGGAATCTTGAGGAAGCCATGCTATGATACAATGTAGCGATTTACCCCCCAAATACTTGTTGCTGCTTTAGCACAATCTAGTCCACATGCAGGACCAATCTCAAACATTTTTGGTTTCCATGGAGACTGCTCCACTTTTAGAACTTTTCCAGAGCTGATCTTCGAGCAGTCCCCGCAGCATGCAGATGGGGGATGGCACGGGGATTTAAATTTTATTTATTTATTTTTTTTGCACCTAAATGAGTTAATATTTGCCAAATCAAAGTCTGAAATTCTCTGGCCACTTTGTTTGTCGTTTCCCCCCTCCTGGGTGCACAATATCAATCCCAACATCTGCTTTCATTGTACTAGGAATGGTCAAGGCGAGGGTGGGCTGTGTGCCAGGGAGCTACACACTCGCAGATTATCTAGATCCCTCCTGGGTTACCTTCTGCAGGGATGGATAGTGGAACTGTGTGAGCATTAAAACTTGCACCGTTTTTAAGAAAGTTACTATTTAACCATGCAGTTGACTTCCCTGTCCCCCTTTAAAGTGCAAAATAAATATTTGTATTGCTTACCTGCCAGCTCTGAGTTGTCTTGCTCCTGGAGATTACCCTGACAAGACTGCCGAGTGGAGTGTCTTCTCACCGATTTGAGGTGTTATGGGACAGCCCATTGGGATGTGCTCTAACAAATCATCTGCCCTTCTTCCCCTCTGTATCAAGCCTTCCTTTGATCACAGCCTCCTCTCCTTCCCCTCACACACTCCCTCCAAAGTCTTCCTCTGCTTTTTACTCCCAGAGAGGAAGGGGAGAGAGAGCGAGGGGGGGTGGGGGGAGTGGGGGAGTTGTCGATTGCAAGCCAGGGCATGTGGACCCCGACTATAGACTCTTACTATAAATGATGCTGGATTTTGGCATATTGTGACTCTGGGAAGACTAGACTGATTGGGATGCAGTTTGCATGTCTGTTTTGTTCACACAAGTGAGGTCTGCTGGTACAGGAGTAAAATCCTGATTGTATTGCTGCATCTTAGGACCTGACAAAGCTTCAAAACAGGCAGTGTCCCCAAACAACCTTCTGAACTTAATACATGTCATTTCAAAACGGATTTTTTTTTTAATTTTTTCCCCCCAAGTTATCTGTACTGGTATTTGACTCCTTACCTACACAGTGTCAATTTTGTCACATGTCACTTTTGCCTCAGGGCTGGAATCTGGGTACTGCCAAAAGTTGAAACTGGAGGACACAAACTGTGGGGAAATGAGGAAACTAGTCTAGCAGATTACTTCAAAGTGCTATGCATACACCCCAACATTCATCCCATATTAATGCTACTTCCCATTAGATTCATTCCGTCTCCCACATACTCCCCTACACTGTGGGGAAAGTGGGACCAATGCAGCATTCTACCAGTTGGTAAATACTAAACCAAATGGCTAACGTAAAAGGCAGTAACTTTTGTCCTATATTTGCCTTGGTGTGCTTCATTCTGGAAGACCTCTGTTTTATATAAGTAAGCACTTCTGAAAAGGAAGATTCTTGCTGTGCCATTGTTAAATTGACAAACTTGTGTGTGTCACATTGGAGGTTGCTTGGCCTCTCTGCTATATACAGAGAAACGGTTACCATGTTCAGGGACCTTTCTTGGGCACAATCTTCCAATCTCTTGGAACTCAGTCTGGAGTCCCATATTGAGGAGCTTGTTTTGCACACTGCAATTCCAATATACTTCTAGAAGTGCATTGAATTCTGATGTTGAACTTGGCAATTAGAGTATCTGAAAACTTTTTTAATGAGGATAAATCGGCAGCACTTAACGTTCTAAATGGAGCTTGGTGGGCCATGCTAATGGGGTGCAGACTCACTACAGGGATTTTTAACTGGAAAAAAACAATGTGCAGTAATTATGCCCATATACTGATCTGATACTATGTAATGAAGGGGTTAATTGTTTAAAGTTGGTAAACCTAATGGAAGAACTTGGAGTATAGTACAACAGGAGTTCAGTCTGACCTCTAGCACAGTATAGAGCAGCCAAACAGGATGTCACTCAATGTCTTTGACATGAACCCATTGGGTACTTTGGTAGTTTCTCTCCATGCAGGTGTTGCATTGTCTATACATGCCAGAGCACACCGATCCCCTCCTGCAGGAGCAGAAAATAAAATGCTACATGCAAATAGGAAACCAAATGATTAAAGTAAAAGGCAGTAACTCTTGTCCTAAATTTACCTTGGTGTGCCTCATTCTGGAAGAAACCTGTTTTATCTTCTGAGAAAGGAAGATTCTTGCTGTGCCATTGTTAAATTGACAAACTTTCATGTGCGTCACATTGAAGGTCAGTGGCTTCCATCTGCATGTTGCTTGGCCTCTCCACTATATACAGAGAAATTTACCTTTCTTGGGCACAAAAATCTTAGAATCACTTGGAACTCAGTCTGGAGTGGAGATATTGCAGTCCCATATTGAGGAGCTTGATTTGCAGACTGCAATTCCAATATACTTCTAGAAGTGCATTAAATTCTGATGTTGAAGTTGGCAACTAGAGTTCTAACTTTATCTGAAAACGTTTGTAATGAGGATAAATCGGACATACAGCACTTAAAGTTCTGATCGGAGCTTGGTGGGCCGCGCAAATGGGTCTGGTGGGTAACCATTAGCCTGCAAGATATACATGGGAACCCTGATAAAGATGGTGCAATCAAAAAGCAAAACCACTTTTTCGGGGAGTGCTAACCAGAGCATTCTTGGTTTATTTTTAGTAAAGGTTTACTAGAGGTCAGTGGAAAGGCACATGGTAAATTCTAACCACCCCCCACAGACTTGCCATTTTTTTTGAAGATTTATAGTGATTGATGATTTAACACCTTCCCCAGGACAATGGAAATTCAGAATTTTTCCATATGGTTTTGTACTCTGGGTCAAGAATGGAAGTGTTTGTGGTTTGTTTTTGTTTTTTTGGTCATGGTGTATGTACGCTAAAATTGTCTGCCTCCTGATAGGGAAATGTTAATGGGGTTCATTTTATTCTAGATCCCTAAACCTTACTCATGAGCAATTTTTCAACATGGTCATTACTGCGAGCTGAAATTATCCGAGCGGTCATTACTTTACTCTTTCTATTTTTGGTTCTTATAAAGGGCAGAATAGGAAGTCTGGTAAATATCTGTTTGTAGAAAATGTCAGTCATGGAATCCTGGGTGCGCTCGGAGATGGGGAAGCTTGGACTGGTCTTTGGTGGGAATCCTGAATCAGAAAAAGAATGGAAAAGGGAAGTTTGCCTGTGACAATATCACTCGTGTCCCAAATTTCCAGCTTTCAATGTTTTTTTTTTTTTTTTTTTTCTAAACAGATATTCTATTAATGCTAGCTTAGTATTGAGCCTATACTACTCATTGGTGTATTACCTTGTTCTGTGCATTAGAAGCCAACATGAATATCATACTTGGTAACATAATGCTATTTAAGTAAACAATACAAGCCGATCCTTTATCCCGCTGAGACTTGCCTCCCATCGAGGGTTTTTCATTTTTAATTTAGGCAGTATAAGGAGCCCTCTCTTTTCTCATGACTTACCCTGCCCACGGGCTTCCCAGTTCCTCCGACAGCTTGATCGTGCCTGGTTTAAAATACAGTTCCATTGAAAACCAAGATGAAAGTCTAGGAAAAAAAGAAAAAAGGTATAGAGGGACAATGGTTTTTAAATGGTTCTCTGCTGAAGTTTTATCTCTGTTTTAACGTGTCCGATTTACAAACTGCTTAGTTTAGTGCCCACACCCCTTGGCACTCGGTTAAATGAAGCATGGTGGATTTTGTGAGAAGATCCATGCCAAGTTGGCACTCTATTATTGTGCCAACAGGTTTTATTTAATTTTTTGTTTTAACAATATAATGTGGCTGCAGACGAGATGAATGAACTATGTGTACATAGATACCTACTGGAACAAGGTGAAAGCGGGTCCTGCTCTTTATAGAAATTTTGAGAACAGAAGAGAATCTTTGATCTCGGGGTCCCATATTAAAGGAATCAGAATTCATATTGGCCTGTGAATAGCTTGTGTGATATGCTGGGATTTAAAATAAACAAAGAACTTAGGTATTTACCATATGATGTGGTAAAGGCACATATTTGTAGTGCTTTATTGTTTTGTGTTTTGTGCTTGTGTATAGAAGTATTGTTCGAGTGCCTGTTAGTATCATTGCTTCTATTTATCACTGGGAATTGAAGATCTGATAACCTTTTAGGTCAAAGTAATTCAGTAATTTTATGGTCTGTACTTGAGTTGGCTGTTGGTGCTATTTTGGGAGACTCTGACTTCTACTAGAAGTTCAGACATTGGAATTCATTTTATTGAGAAGTTGTCAGTTGTACCTTCTAATAAGTGTGACGACTGTTGGAGAACTGGACCTTTTTAGCTTAATTTCCATGGACCTCATGAAAGCATCTAGTAAAATGGAGTCTTGGAGTGATCTGTCTGAGGAGCAGTGGTGTATCCTGGTTTTGTGCTGCCCTGGTTATGCTTTCCTATGGGGAGGTCTAATGCGTATGCAGCAGGTCTCCCCCCGGTGGCGGAGGAGCGTGGGCGGAGCCTGACCCAGCTCCGAGGGACATTGGTGCTGGATTCAGGTTAGTGGCTAAAGGGGTCTTAACCCCTTCAGCCCCGAGGGAGGGGGCACTTGTAATTTGCTTCTTCTGTCTTTCCAGGTTGACTGAAATATTATTTGTATATTTCTTCTTGGGTAAAAGGCTCACAATGTTAATATAGGTCTATAGTAACCAAAAATACGAATATGAAATCTGACTTACGGTTTATTCTTAGTTACTGATGCATAATAAAACTAAAAAGGATGTTACAGGATTATGGATGTTCAACAGCAGATGGTAATTGCTGGACTCCTGAAGGGGGAGTTAGTCTCTACATAGTTGGACAGCTGGACAAGAAGAACAACCTCGTGCAGCAAGACCTCTCTATAGCTATGACAATTGTGACATCAGACCTTTTTAAATATAACCCTAGCCATAGAAGGACAAGCCCCCCCCCCATTACCACATTCCAGAGTTCTCATGGTACAGCATAGCAAAGTACCATCTGTTCTTTTTAACCCATTAGACCTCCATGCCTACTATGAATATAAATGGGAACATGGTAATATTCTACAGCACTCTAGGAGCCTATAATGCCAGGAAAACTGGTTTGTTTTCCTGGCACTATAGGATCCCTTTAACCCCTTAAGGAGGGCAGACATACCTAGTACGTCCACGGCAAATATGAGCACTGGAAGCTATCGGGATCGCTTCCAGCCACTCTAAGGGTATTGCAGTGATGCCAAATGTGAAGGGTTATTTAGGGATTCCTGACAGATATCAGTGTTACAATATAACTTGCGTTAATTTTGGGGGGGAAAATGGTTTGAAAACCGCAAAGTGCTACTTGTACTTATAGCCCTATAACTTGCAAAAAAAAGCTAAGAACATGTTAACATTGGGTATTCTAAACTCGGGACAAAATTTCGAAACCATTTAGCATGGGTAGTTTTTGGCGGTTGTAGATTTTTTTTTTTTTGTGGGTTTTTTAAGTCCTATTTTATTATAGTAATATGATGAAAATAACGGTATCTTTAGAAAGACCATTTAATGGCAAAAACGGTATATAATGTGTGGGTACAGTAAGAGGGAAAACTACAGCTAAACACAAACACTGCAGAAATGTAAAAACAGTCTGGTCACTAAGGGGTTAAAGGGTTACTCCCACTATTATAATAATCTTTGCTTTTAGACGTGGTTATGGTAGTAGGAATCTGCATGTGCTACATTTCGACTTGAAACATTGCACATCAGAGATATTTGCAATTCTTTTGGCTTAGTCTCCCATCTCTGCTATTCCCACTTCCTTATGTGTCCCCTCGCTGGCTTAGAGCATGCATGCACTTAGAGACAGGAGAGAGTACAATGTAATGCATTTTGAATGGACTGCGTGAGGGAGGTTGTGATGTTGGAGGTATGGAATCTCGCAAAAGGAGCTTTGCCCAGCACAGGATTCGGAGTAATTTCCCCCTCCCCTTCCCTTTAGTGTTAGGGGATTGGCTGCTCATGATTAATGATTAATACTGAACAGGCCATTCTACACTAAAAAAATACAATCATTTATAAAGGGATAGAGTAACCCTTTAAATGACAGTCTGATAAAATCGAAATGTGTTAATAAAATCACAGGAACATGTTGTGTAATGTGCTTTGGGCAGGCTAATGTGTGCAGGAGAAACTTGTTGAACATAAGCATTTGATACAAAATTCCAATCTTTGGTCAACAGAGATGATCATATATTTCCCAGCAGGTTCTTAACCTGCTAGGAACCAGGTTACATTTTAGCAAGTGTGGCAATGGGTTATTTAGAAAGTAATGGAGAAGATTCTATTGGGCTTTAGACTTTGACTTCTAAATTGACATTTTGTGATCAGTGGACAAAACTCTGGGTGGGGAAATACCCAGAAAGTTTAATAAATCTGGACTGTTTTTAGTCCATAACCAACAGCCTTATGGTAGGGTTATAATTGGAAAAAACTATGTGCATTCCAGATTGCTTTTATTTTTAGCTGCTAAAAGCTTTCGGAACGTTTCAGACCAGTGTGGCTGTGTGGTAGGTGAGAATCTTACCGGATGCTGTCCCTGCAGGTCTATTATTTAATGCTTTCCTTTGGGGAAATATCTGATGATGGAAGTCCTCATGTAAAGCGTCTTCAATTCAGGAAGTCCCTCTAATGGCTGTCTGGTAGACAGCCCCTAGAGGCGGAGTTAACACTCAGAGGTAATTATTGCATTTTCTCAGAAACTGCAATAGCTACCACTGTAGGGTTAAGGGACATGGGACATTGCACAAAGACCACTTCAATGAGCTGAAGTGGTCTGGATGCCTACAGTATGCCTTTAAGACAAAGTAGTCTCTGAAATTCAAACGCAGTAAATGTAGGTTGGGAATCTTTTGTTTTGTTTTTATCTTGGCTTGGCCATTCAGTCTCCATACAAAGCAAAATTTGATTAATACCTTGAACTAACTTTGCAGTGAATTGTTTATTTTACCAGGCCATGCGTAACAAAGTTGGCATTAACGTGAGGTCCATCTAAGAACATTCTTTTTTCCCATTTATGTACCTGTCATTTGGGTGATTCATGTATTGAATGGCTTTTTACCAGAGTGAGTATTAGGAAACTCATTCGGTGAGTGGCATATCCTGGGTGAGACTTATGGGTACATACTGCACCCTTATTTAGTAACAAGGCAGGGCACAATCTTGAAGTCCTTCCTATGATCTAAAAATCTTGGTGTCTTCCTTCTACCAATCCAGCCTAACAAGAGTGTAACAAGTTATTTTATACACACTTGGCTTTAGCAAATGCCAGCTGCATTGGTAGCCTGCTTTGGTCTCCAGATGGCATGCTAATCTTGGCCACACTGTATGTTAGACTGGTATGGAAGCTTCCCACCTGTTGGAACTAAACAATGAACTGGGCTTTTCCTGGTTCTTTGACCACTGTATTCTGGCTGTGAATTCCTTGGCCGATGGGAAATATGGGGTAATAGGCACTTACTGGATGTCTCATGTAGACTAGAGTCGTAATGGATTTTGTACTCACCCAGCCCTCAAAATTGCACCAGCAGTCTAGGTTTTGCCAATGTAGTCATTGGAACAAACTCCATAAATGCATAAGCCATGGACTTTGAGGTCTTTGAACACTGGATGGTAAACACTACCTTTATAGCATCATGTACCCGGCACGCAGACAGACGTGTTGGACAGAATAGAGGCGTTTTCCTGTTATTAAAGGTAAAATCATCTAAACATGCACAAAGATGGAGAGGACTGCAAGTTAATGAATTCCGCAAATGTATTTATTTAAAAAATATATATATTTAACCAGGAAGGATGCATTGAGTTCTCTAGTTTGCAAGTATTTCCTTGGCATCTTCCTTCCAGTTATTGGGAGATCCTGATTCGGGTGACTGGATGTGGGAAAATCAAATTTTTATTTTGCACCTATTTTGGCAATATGTTGGGCTGTATGTAGGAATGTCTTCACTGCCGTAATAGTAAAATGTCTATTCAGATCTTTACCATAGAACCTAGATTAAACTGGATGCTGACCTCTCATGGTAGCATGTGTTAAGTGCAACATCGGAGTTCTGACTCTTACATTTTAAATTCAAATAATTTTGCCACAAATTCCCAGGATCTGCATCTTTGTGCGTGAGATTCTCCCAAACTGAAAGCAAACCATTATTAGAGCTTGTCCATTTTGTATATGGATCAAACAGTGGATCAGCTTTGACCGCAAACACGGACTATGTGGAACTCCCTCCGTACCACAAAGATAAACAAGATACAACTAACAAAACAGGTTGCGCATAACGGCAAACAAGATATGATGGATCTATGTAGTTTATTTTCCGTTTTGACACTAGACAAGTACTGGCCAACTGACCTGACATCGTGGTGGTAGACAAGGAACAGAAGACTGCAGTGGTGGTGGATGTGACAATACCCGGCGACTATAACCTCAGGAAGAAGGAACATGAAAAGATCTTTTCTAGCTGGTGAAATACCAAGGACTGAAAGACTAATTGGAAAGTGAAGGCAGTAGAAGTCCCAGTTGTGATCGGATTACTCAGGGCTGTGGCTTCAACAGATTCCAGGTGGGACATTTGAGATCGCTGTCCAGAAAAGCGTAGTTCTAGGAAGATACTGCGCAGAACCCTCACACTCCCAGGCCTCTAGTAGAGGAACTAAGAATGAGCAACAAAATACCATTAAGAAGGGGTGAGAATTTATATTTTTAGCCATATATCCAACATGGGTCCAGCACACACTCTCCGGTCTTCTTGCCTCTGTAAGTCTATGCTTTAATATAAAAATCCAGAAAAGTGTGCTCAGGATGACTGTGAAAAAATAATGATTTTAAACTAGACAGACTTTAAATTAATGAGGCTACAACCTTTTTTTTTATATACTTATTACAGTGAGCATTTTTATTTTTTTACATTACCCATTCTATTTACAATATTGCACTATTGGCTTTTTCTCTGGCTATGCATATTCATCACTGGAATAATGCACATGGCTCTTAAATCCATTTAGTCCCCACTGATGGGTATAACTCCTAAATGGCAAAGAATTCATGAGTGAGGCTCAAGGGGCATGTTCTATACACCAAAACGGCTTTATCAAGCTAAAGTTGTTTTGGTGATTATAGTGTCCCTTTAAATATATATATTTTTTTTTTTTTGTTTTGTTTTGTTGCTAATGGGTGCAGTCTGTTTTGTTCTATTAGGAAGTAGCTGATGTCTGCCAATCCCATATTTACCATGTTCCCTTTAAAAGTGCTGACACATCACAGAACAGAGGACATAGGTAGGTTTATTAAATATCTAACTAGGTACTTTGTAGCCGTTCCAATGATCAGGAAGTGTCAATGGCAGACGCAGAGCTGCTTCAAAAGAAGTTTGGCACTGTTTGCATGTTCACCAGGCACATTCCTTATAATTCCTACTTAATTAGAAGTTTTTTTTTTTTTTGTTTGTTTTTTTAAATATAAATATATATATTCACCAACATATTCCACAGCGCTGTAGTTCTAGAAAGGCGATATTGAGAGGTAAACAAACTTACAATATGAGGTGGATATATTTTGCGATCTTGCACAAGGCCACTTACTGGGGAGGTGGTCTGACAGTCTGTAAAATCAATGACCCCCCAATTTTACTTATCCGTTTCAGTGTTCTTGGTATTGTATTCGTAATGCAGTTTCTAGCTCATTTGGGTTTTGCGCAACACTGCACTGTCATAAACCACTTATTGGAGTAAGTATAGATATATCAAATACAGGGCTACACCTGTAGGTTATAAACCTGTACTAATAGGATTGAGGCTACTGTAAACATGATTGAATTGAAATGAACGGTTGGGTGGAATGACTGACAAAGAATACAAGACCTGTTTTATTCACAAAGAAAGTAAATACTAAATGGAGGTGATCTACACAGGACAATGAAATCTGCAATAAATGTGGTCTTTACCAGTCTGTCATTCTATGTTAATGACTGTCCTTGTTTTGCCATATCCTGGGTGAGGCGCTCAGACCTTTCACTGTTAATTAGATCAGGTCCAAGTGATTCATAACAAGACAGTGGCAGCAGTGTCCCTAATTACCCTGATATGGTGGCATTGTCTGGAATTCTTTTCATGCACTGGAAATCCTGCTGTGTAATGCTAAGCCAATTAGCTAGTAGTATTTGAATTGTCTTCGATTACTCTACTTGGTCTTCTGTATAAATTGTGTGCAAGTCCTTAATCTTCTCCTAACAATGTCCACTATGTACTGGGTGGATGCCCTGCACTCCAAGCAGCTCCCCCAGCCGATATGTGATGCCCACTGCAGAACTGTATGGAAATAAATGGTGTTAAAATTCCTGCATTTGCAGGATATGCAGCTTCTGTTTTGATCTCTCTCTCCCTCTCCAAACCAGGGAGTGTCTTTCTATATCATTGCTGAGATTATCCCTGAAACAGTGCTTCTAGGACAAAGCAGGAGTTTCAGGGAATTGTAGTTTGTCCTGACATCATACCTCCCAAGTGTCCCTATTTAGGAGGGACAGTCCCTATTTTGGGCACAGATCCCCCTGTCCCGCTCTTCTATCCTAATGTCTGTGACAGTGACTGCCATGGTAGGTTCAGGTAAGTAAAACCTTACTCGCTCCAACAGACCATCAGCGACTGCAGGATTCTTAAAGATATCCAAAGGTGACAATGTCCCTAGATATTGACAGTGCTACTTTAACTACCCTGACCTTTTTTACACTCCACTTAAGTCATTTAAAAGTAACCCTTTTAGTACTCATCAGTTTTATACTGCAATCAGTTGTCAATTTATATTTTTTGGGGGGGGTTCTCTGGGTTGATGGGTTAAGGGAGTATGTAATGGCAGGTAGGGGAAAAATAATTGTACCCCATAAAGTGACCATTGCCCTTTACTACACCGCAAAGGAGGTTTACGCCAAGCTGACGCTTAAGTCAGAGGAGAGTGACTCCTTTGACCTATGTGACCGTGAGATATTTATTGCGTCAGATGTAGCGCCCTTCTGATGTGGTTGTCCCACTGTAACACCATCCAGAAGGAGCTTAGAATGCCACACTGTCTGAGCATAACAAATTACCACCAAATCAAACTGCCCAATTGCTCTGAAATTCCCCAATTTTTGGCAGGCCCTGGTATCACAACCAGAGTTGATAATTGTGAGCCTGTTTATGACTGATTGCATGTTTGAGCTTATGGCTGTGCAAACTAATTTTGTATGCCAGACAATATTTCACTGCCCATCCAAAAACCACAAAGACACAGCTGCATTGAGACATATGAGGTATAGGCCTCTTAGGTGCTCGGACAGAAAAGTTGTGAACATGTTGTCCATGCTTCCTGAGAGCAGTGTCAGTCCACAGAAGCCATGCGCAAATTGAGAAGCCATGCGCAAATTGAGAAGCCATGATGCATAGTTGAATAAAACTGGCGTATGGGGGAGTAATTTGGCTGACTAGTGTATTCAGCCGTATCTGGTTCACTGTAAAAGACATGGTATAAAAAGTGCCATCTACCTTGTCCAGAACACCGTATATAATTCATATAGTGTACAACAAAGCAGCCACATGGAAGCAATAAAGATATTTTTTTTTTTTTTTTTTTTGGGTGTCAACCTGAAG